AAAATAGTCATGAATGAAATAAGAATGTTAAGAGAAATATAATTATACATGTTACTTGCCATTTCATTGTGTAACATTTCATTAAACTAGTTTTCCTTCCAGATCTCTGGAAGGAACCAGATTTGAATAAGAGCTCCTGTTTTTAGGATGCAGTACAGATGAAAAAAAAATTGTTGTATCCTGGGAGCTGCTATTGTAAAAACAAATTTCTTTCTTTTAAATTTCTAGTTTCTAGCGAAAATATTTGTAAAAGATTGGCCTCGCGTTAGATTCTAGAGCTAAAAGTTTTCAACAAGGTCGTTTTAGACCTCAGTTTCAAACTAATTAACTCTGGCGGGAAGTATGTAAGGATCTTAAGTTTTACTAACGTTTATTTTATTTTAAATCTTTACTATCACTTCTTATTTTCTACTTCCGGCCAGAATTATAAGCGTTAAGGTTTTTATGCAAAGTTTGTCTGGCGAACGCCAAGTATTTAAGTTGTGGCTTTTTGCCAAGCGAGAGAGAGGAAGCAGAGAAGCAGTGAGTCGAAGCAGGCCGCTTACCTTAGAAGTTACGCAGTTGCTGGTTGCCTTCCAGGCCAGAGGTTTTAATCCTCTTGATAAATTTTAAACGTATTGTAGTGTTCACAGTTCTCTGTACTACATACGCTTCCTGTTAATATAAGGCCAATCTTCCACGTTTATTATTTAAAGTTAAATTAGAGTTTAGTTTTATTTTTATACTTTTACGTTAGACCCCAAAGTAGCGGGTCGGTGTATTCCGAAGTACGGAAGTTATTGTAAATAGAGAAAAATAAAGGGTTTTGTATACCCTTCTTGTGTATCCTGTCTACTTCCCACAATTAGTGAACATAGCTTTAGTAAGCTCTCTGTTCCGAGTCAGGTCCTTGCATGTTCTCCGAAGAAGGTAAGAAGGAACATTGACCCTGATACCTTTTCTAAATAATATACTTTTTAAATTTTTGCATAATATTCAATGTTATCCTTGCAGATATAAATATTTTATGCAATAAAAATAATATCTAAATAAAAAACAGAATATACATCTTTGAAGTGATTTCCATTTTAGTCTAGTTTAGTTTTATCACCATTAAATTCCATCAGAAAGACCTAAAAATCGCAAAAACTTCAGCTAACAGTTAAAACCAATTTTATTTAACATTTAAGAAAGAGGAAAGCATTGCGAGAAGTTTAAAAACTTAAGCATTAACACACATGAGATGATACCAGGCATTAGCAATGAACAGGCAAACTGTGAGAAGTAAGGCTCGGGAAAAAAGATAAAGTTTTAATCCTCTCGCTATAGCGAACACATGCACATATTGTGTAGCAAAGATGAAGTTGCCACTCATTGCAATGAGGATTTCCATCATAAGTCTATCTGCAAGATCGGTTGACAAATTCTGTAACACTTGAAGTGCATATCTATGAGTGTAAATCTACTATTCACGATAAAAAGAAAATTCAAAATTCATATACTATGTTACAATATACGTTCAGTTGAATATTCAGTCCATTTTAAATTCAGAAATCATTATCTTATCCTATCATAAATATATTTAGAAGCATTGTATTAACATACAACTAAGTAAACTGATTTAATATAAAGTCAGATTTATTTTAAAGTTTTGAATGTCTCCTGTAATATATTAAATGTTGCACTATAAGGGGTGCTTCCATTTTATAGTGGCCTTGGCAAGAAAAGGGGAAATGGTCTGTTTTTGCTATTGGGGGAAACAAGTGGTTACCAGTTTATATATGTGCTGTTGGTCAATGTTGATTCAGCTAATGAAAATTCTCTGTAGTTTTTCATTGTTAAATGTTTAATATGTTCATTTCCATCTCCCTAAGAAATCAATGTTTACCAACTTGTATGTATAGTTTACGTTTCTTCTCCTAGTGAAAATTTTCTCAGTACTTTCTCATTATCCACTCTTCCCTCTTCATCGACACTGAAAAGTTATGAGCTTACTGTTGACTTTGATGAGAGATGCTTGTTTGGGTTGTAAGGATCCTAAGTTTTACTAACGTTTATTTTATTTTAAATCTTTACTATCACTTCTTATTTTCTACTTCCGGCCAGAATTATAAGCTTTAACTTATTTATGCAAATTTATCTTGCTAACGCCAAGTACTTAAGTTGTGGCTTTTTGCCAAGCAAGAGAGAGGAAAGAGTTATTGCAAGCCGCTTGCCATAGTAGTTTTACTCGGTTGCTGGTTGCCTGCAAGGCCAGAGGTTTAGTCCTCTTGATAATTTCAAACATATCGTAGATTTAGCAGCTCTCTGTACTACATACGAATTTTGTTAAATAATGGCCAATCTTAAAGCTAGGCACTTATATGTTAATCCAAAGTTAGTTTTAGTTAATAGTTTTATATTCTTACGTTCAGACCACAAGTGGTTGGTCTCTGTATTCCGAAGTTACGGAAATCTCTGTAAAGATAGAAAAATAAAGGGTTCCGTATACCCTTCCTGTGTGTATTGTCTACTTCACAATTTATTGAACATAGTTTGAGTAAGCTCCCTGTTCCAAGTCAGAACAGTTCATGTTTCCAAAGCAAGTAAAGAGGAATACAAGTCTTGATAGGGTGTCTTTGCATAAATTTCAATGATGCTTTCAGTGCCACCATTTTTTTTTACATTATCCTTTTTTGTACAAGACACACATTTCTTGGTTTTTTGTGTTGTTTTCCTTCTCATGTACACAGCAAACTTTTTCACTTGAAGAAAATCAGAAAATTGCACAAAGACCACACAACCAAAAGCCTGAAACAACTAAAAAATAAAAAGTGCATCATGTCTTTAAATGAGCCACATTATGCTGTATGCATACAGAAAGCCACATGCAAGATTCTTCCAAAGACAGCATAAATTGCAGCATGTAATTCTCCACTATATTAAAACTCTGAAATCCTCATAGAAGGTATCGTAATCTTTCGTCACGCTACCAAAAATGTCCAGAGAAGTAGAAAGCCATCTTAGCAAATGCTGGGCACATAGCTGAGTTATCACATAAATGCTTTTTGATGTCATCATGTATTGCCACAAAGGCTCACTTGGCAATATGGTGTGTTGCCTCATCAATACTTTTCTGCTGCTTTTCAATGATGGTACGGATAGTCAGAAAGTATAGTTTTCTCTTTTAAAATATAACAGTTTTTTATTGTTAAATTTAAAACGTGCATGCTCTTTTAAATCTGCCCTCGACAGAAAAAGATGTGAAAGCTGGAAAATATAACAATTATAGGCATGAGCGAAATGACAAAACAAAGAGCACATAGGTATGCCTCACCATCACCTAAAGTAATATTTAGCCATCATATGGGTCATGATAATGTGTTATTAACTGCAATTGCTGGACTGTGGTCACCATAAAGTGTCTGTTAAAAATGAATTTGGGGGTATTTTTGTACAAGTTATTTATTTTAAATAAATTTCTTAGAGAATTAAATTAAGTCATAAATACATTTTTATATTAAATTGTTTCTATAAGTATATATTAAGTAAACTGTGTTGTGTAGGTAATGAATAACTCTCCAATTTGTGTTGGTCACCAACTAATGAGTTTTTATTCCATGACTTGGTCACCAACTAATAAGTTTTTATTTTCTGAAGTTCAAATTACACCAGTGTCTGTTTTTTCTTGCCAAGGTCATTATAAAATGAAAGTACCCTAAAATATGTGGAACTGTTTCAAATATAACAAGTTTATAGTTACTTTTGTATTGTTATGTGTGTATGAGTTCATAATGGATTGAATGCACACAGAACTAATGATAGCTTGATAATATTTGTTTTTCCAAAAGAAACGCTGTACAGTTCTGGAAAGTTTCACAAAAATACTCATATAGCTATACTCAGTATGAAAAAACATAACCACTTACCACTTCATGAAAAAACATAACCACTTACCACTTCGAACTACTAAGAGCGTTAAACACAACCCAGTGCAAAGCACATCTAAAGAGGGAATATCATGCAATGATCTCTCAATACTCTGAGCTAACTACTGAGAACTGATGTTTTCTTTGATCTTATGTAATTTTCCCACAGCTGCTTAAAAATTTCTTGCACCTTCAATTTCTCGAAATTGCTGGTATGCATATACAGTTGCAGTTGCATGTAGAGTGGGATACACTTGCAGTTACATGCAAGAATCATATCAATAACAGTTATAAGGGATCAGACCAAACTGTTGCCAAGTTTGGAGACTTTTGGTGATTTCTCACCTAATTTGATGACAAAAATTAGTCACCAAAACCACACCAGCTTGGTAGTATCTCATTAATGTAGCAAAACTGCCATTTACCTTAATGTTAATGGACCTGTTTCTGTAATCTTAGTTTTCTGGTAGAGCTTCACATTCTTCAAGCATTTCATGTTACAAGTTTCATGCATACAAGAAATAATATGATTTACGTATAATATCAGTAAAATTACTTCTAGATATATAAAATTTTTAACAGTATCTTGGCACTTGTCAAGCAAAGCAATGGTTCAATTTTGAAACATGGATGTGCATATATTCACAATACAGCTGAAAGTGCATTGTACCTAAGGAATATTTGAATTATTAAATGCAATTGCTGAATGGCAATGGTTTGGGTTTAAACCAGATCTTTTTTTTTTCCTTTTGTTATGATAAGACCTGAGAATAAGCTTGCAGAAGGTACTAGGCATCTGTAATTTTAGTTAGGCAAGCATATTAACATACAAGTTAGCAAGCCTAGGATTCTTCAAGAAGATAGAAAGTTTTACAGTTTGTTTCATCTTCTCTGTAGTTGCTTGTAAGTGTTTTTTATGCAGTATATGCTGAACATATACTTAATATTTAAAGAACCAAGACTTATAAATCAATGTAGATTTCTTGGAATACTTTTTCAGCACTATACAGGAAGAACTATATTACTGTAAAATGGAGATCACTTGTAATTTAGATTCTATGTTTAATATATCTTGATTTTTTAATATATATTCTTTAGTTCTCTGGAATATAAATTGATAATTCTTCATTCCAGAACTATCCTCTGTATGTAAAAACAACTTCCCCTGGAAATGATTTGAAGTTTCTCTACACAATTCACACATCTCTTGATGTAATAGAAGAAAAGGTTCTGACAGTGAATAAGACAGCTTCTGATTTAAGAGAACTGTATCTTGGATTACTTTATCCTACTGAAGATTATAAAGTGTAAGTATTTAATTTTTATTATGAGAATTTGTTTTATCTCTTGTATATATACCAAATTTAGAATAAGCATGTTTTATACAGAGTATTCCAAAAATAAACTTTATTCCCTGAACTTTATATCCCAAATTTATACTTTCAGTTACATTCTCAAATTAAACCAAAACAATTTTTTTTTAAATGATCTTAACAATGTAAATAGAAGGGTTCCATAAATACTTACTTAATTTTACTTTTTAATTTTGAACTTTAATTGCAATTAAACTTTCGAAAATAAATAAAAAAGACATTTAAAAAAGACTTGACTGTTTTGAAAGATTAAATATTTTTTTAGAAACATTAAGTGCCCAAAGTGAAAGATTTCTGCAATTTGGGGGATCTTTTTAAACCTTCGCCCTTCAAATTAAGTTCTGATGTTATGTGCTACAATCAGTGACATTTTGGTCACACATTGAGTCATTTAATGGCTTGGCCCCGTGATTGAAAATGTGCAAATCACACATGTCTTATTAAATAAATACATGTACAGTTGCTTTAATTTTGTAAGATACTTGACAAGTAATTCTGAAAAATTCATCAGTGAATAAAAATGATGTATATCTGTAAGTGAATAGTGAATCAATAACATTTTATTTCAATTTCAGAATAAATGCTTGTTGTAATGGTCTGAACAATCATGCAGAGAATTAAAGTATTTATGTGTTTTCCTTCTGATCATGAATGTTGGCAGACATGTTTTCAAAACTACATTCGTGATTCTTGTAGAAGTTTGAAGAAATAGATTGCTTTTTATTTAATTAGATAATCAGCAGATACAGATTACAAATATGATATATTAAAACTTAAATAACTATAGGCTCAAACTTTGAGATTATCTGACAAAATTCATTAAAACTAGTGCCAATCATTCTAGTGATCAAAAATCCCAAGTAAAATATATATATATAACAAAAACAAAATTGTTACCTCATTACAAATTCAGTGCCCCATAAATATGAATCTAAGTGGTATTGCACTATTTCACAATGTCTTTTATTGTGCCATTTTGACGAACTCCATAATCTTTTAATGTTTTGAGTATGTGCATCAGTATAGCCAGGCCCACAACTTGGGAAATATTCCCCTGCTTGATGTTCTTTAAAAGGCAGATCCCAAATTTTAATCATTTTTCAGAATGCAAGAGGAAAAGAGGACATAGCAAACTTGTAACTTCCTTACAAAATTTAACTTGACTTACTGAAGATCTGAGTGACATAGTGATGTTCTTATAAATGTATTGTGACATCACTGTTATATATTATGGATGATAAATTTCACTGTTTGGCAACACTTTCCGAAATGATCGATAACAAAATATATAAGTACTAAATTATCTTCAATCTTGTAGAATCTTTCAGAGCATTTTGGTCCATGTAATAAAATTGACATTTTTGGCATTCCCAAGTTGTTTTACTATGCTTCTTTGTACAATTTTACTAGCTTTTATTTCTTTTAATGGTAGGCCTTTTATACTTTGATTTTATTGCAGTTTACAAGAACTTGTTTCAGTGGTTTTTTTATCTTTGGCTTTAGTTTATTATTTGTTCTACATACCATTTCATCTCTATTATGATATTTTCCTAAAATGTACACTCTTTTGCAAAAACATCAAAGCACCATGAAGGAAGTGGTTGTTTTTGATGAAATTGAATATGTGTATAGTTCATACACTAATAAAATGATTAAAAAATCAAGGTCATGGTACCTGTTCACGGCTCACAATCACCCATTGAGTGTTCAAATTAGTAGTTGGTCAAACTGCACCTGGCGACAATGTATGCTTGAATTTGTCAAGACAAGGAGTGGTAGAGGTTCCTAATATCATCCTGCAACACATTCTGCCAGTCATTCATCAGTTGTCGCTCTAGATTTGTGGTATTTTGCGGTGCACGAATCTGGGGGCCTTCTATGTCCTAGATTGTGAAAGGTCTGGTAACCTTGCTGGCCGAGGAAGATCATCAACCGCACGGAGACAGTCCAGAGATATGTGAGCGGTATATGGCTGGTCATTATCTTGTTGGAAAATGGCCCCAGAATGACGTGCCATGAAGGGTAATTGTTGAGCTCTTAAAGATGTACTAAGGATAACTAAAGATGACCTGCTGTAATAAGAAATAGTGCCCCACACCATCACACCAGGGGTTATGGCTGATTGGGATCGTTGTCGAGACACGAACATGGTGGTCATCTGCTTCAAGAGTGAAGTGGGATTGATTCATTGCTGAACACTATACAATGCCAGTCTGATGGCAGCCATGATGACCGGCTGCGACACCACTCCAGACGACTCCGCCGATATTGTGGGGCCAAAGGCAAACATATTAAAGGCCTCTGTGAGCATAACCCCACCTCAGATAAGCGCTGTGAGATGGTGGACGGTACCACGGGAGGTATAGACGTGGCTGTAGTGCATTGAATAGTCTACAATGATACCGTTGGAGCACTTTGGGCCTGGCGAACAATCATCCTATCATGCCTCACATTTGTGCTCCTTGGCCTTCCAGAGCCTTCATTTCATCAGCAGTTTCCTTGTAGCAGCCATTGCTGCCAACATCTTTGCGCTGCAGGTGGCAGCCTATTGCTCCGTATGACCACCCAGCTTCACGCAATCCAACAATGCGACCACGTTCAAAGTCGTTTAGTTGTCTGTAAGGTCTTCGATATTGTTGTAATGGCATCTTTAGTTGCTTCTTTATGGAATTACAATGGCAGCAATAAAAAAAGATAAATTCTCCACCTCTGTCACTGGTTTTATACTTTGTGAATTGTGCACTAGAAATGCACGCTATGGTTGCAATTCTTGTTCATTTGCATGTTCAATCAAGATGTTTTTGCATACCAAATTTTGTCACAATCACAAAAGTCTTTCTTGGTGCTTCAGTTTTTTTGCAAAGAGTGTATTTTTAGACATAATATAGACAAAATCAAACTGTTCTGTTTGTACCTGATATAAGTTTGCCACTTTTTTGCCAAGAGTCCATATAATTTCAAATTTATTCACCATTTTCTTCTTTCCAAATCCATTGGTGATAATTGAGGATGTGGTTAATGATGTGGTCTTCATTGTCAGTATCATATTCAATAGCCAGTAGCTTTGAATATTTTTTTACAGAAAAAAAAAGCGTCACTGCTCTTACTATCACTGCTAAGAAATGTCTATTGAATCATACTTTCAAAGTTAGCATTAAGTGCAGAATGTCCTTATTAATGCTAAATTTTCTTTTTGAAGACAGATATTTTATTATTATTTGATTATGTAAAGATTTTTAAATATTTTTAAGAAGGCATGCTAATGTCTGCTAATGTTTTAAGCATGCTAATGTGGCCAAGAAAGACATATAATCTGCAGGTGTGAATGGGCGAAACACCAGAATTTCACCATAGGTTTATTCAGGCATGGTCCCACCATACTAACATTTAACTAAGACAGAAAGACATCAGTGACAATTAATCACTAGCCTGACACATGTTGTTTGCATTTGGCTTGATCAACATATGGCGAATATCATCTGTGGTTGTTATATTATATAGCCAATTTCTTTACAATTCTCTCACAATAATTAGACAAAGACGTTAAACAAGAATGAAACCATTGTCATTGTATTACTTCGGATTTCGTTTTTGAAGAATTTTCCCATGAAAATGATGAAAATTACTGCCCCAGTAATCAGAAGTAATTATGTACAATTCATATTTTGTTACATAATTAAAATTCATTTGCTCCCCTTCAACAGTATCTGAATGCATGTAATATTGTTTACATATATAAGCAATTAAATGCTAATAATAGTTTTTGATTATTCAAAATGTATTGCTAGTGTAAGTTACTTTAAAGAAAATACATATTAGAAAAATATTTACTCCTGAGTAATGAATCGGAGCTTATGCAGGTGACTCTGTGCTTGATTGTGTGTGTTTGAACTGTAAATTTTAAAAAAAATCTGCTGTGTACACCACAATGACTTCCTTGTATGGAATATTAAATTATATGCATTTTTCCCAGCATTTCATTTTAACTTATTCAATTTAATTAAATTTTCTTCACCAAGAGTTCATGAACCACAATAGAATAAATGCGCTTTTTTAAATTCGCTATATTTATTTACAATAGCGATACACTGGCACTAGTTTCAGTTAACAGCGTTACATCTCATTCATTTTATAACTCAGAATGCAATATATATATATATATAATGTTGTATGATCTTAAATTCATTTAGTGCAAAAAAAAGTTACTACTACTTGCGCAATTGCTGCAAAGTTAGTAAATAATAATTTATTTCCTAAACAATATTGATTAATTGATTATATTATCTCCTAAGTTTAATTAAAGTAAATTATTTTAAAAGAGTGAATCCATACTGGTAAGTTATATTTTGAAAGATGTTTGAATAGTAACTTGAAAGTAAATGTTAATAATGTTTTAACGGGGACTGGAATTAAATCATCATGAAGAACAAAGTTTCAATTGTAAAAGGAAAAATTAAAAACATGTAATCGTTGTCATTGATCGGAAATTAGTTGACTTTTCAAGGAGAACAAACCAACTCCCGTTCAATGAACAATAATTAATAAAAATACGTAAATACGAAGGTGTTTCGTCTTTGCTCGAGTTATAAGGTAAAGCCAAACCGGCAATTCTAGTCAGGCCAAATATTTCCGCGAAACCTTAACTAGAAGATAAGAACATAATCGTTTTTAAAGCAAAAAATGCACAATTTACAAACATATAAGAATAAAGAAACTGAGTCCAGTAACAAAGTGGATATATATTTACAAAATGTTCAGGCGCGGTGACATAGCTTACCTGCAAAGCAGTTTTAGGGTTGCCCCATTTGGCGACAAAATTGGCGACATGCCATGAACGGATGGAGAAACGGAACGAATTCTTACCGGTTTAGCCCAGAATGTTCTCAAGCACCAGCCAAAAGCTATATAAACCCTGCTGGTACGCAGAGAATTAGTTAGTATCGAGTGTGCCTCATGTAGCAAGCCGTGTGGAGTCGATCAAGTCAACAGCCGGGCAGCGAGAGCCGAGTGGGTCGTTGAGTGCACCGAAGGAGTCTCTTAGTGTATCGTGGTTACTGCATCGTCGAGAGAGCGTGTTGAGCTCCGGGAACGACTGAACCAAAGAGTTGGGAGCCGTGCTCCATCGAGTACGTGGAGTTCCGAGAACGATCGAGCAGAGTCGGGAGCTGTACTCTGGTGCTTTGCAGTGAAGCTGTCTCCCACTTAATAGCTTGATAACCTGAAAGCCGTGTTGCTGATCGTGTCAATATGTTTATAACAGTTCAACAACTGTAAATGAGATTTTGGAGCTTTCCTGATTAATACCGGGCAATAAAGTGTGTTTCGATACTTCATCAAGTGTCGTCGTTATTCACTCCAAATCTACGAACGTGAAGGAAGAAAATAATGTAACAACTGGTGTCAGAAAAGAAAAATGCAGCAATATATATACATATATTTATGTTCTTTTGGTGCAGCTGATTGCAACCAAAAAGGGAGGTGAACAACTATGTATTATAGAAGTCAATATGTTGAATATATACAAAATTTCAACATTCTGAGGCTACTCGTGTTAGAGTTATGCAAGATACATATGTACAGACGCCATGAAAAAATCTCTTCTGAATCCATTTTAAATCATTTTTATAATTCGTTTGAAATGCACAATTTACAAACATATAAGAATAAAGAAACTGAACCCGCTGAACTGAGTAACAGAGTGGATATACTTTTGGTGTTGCGGATCGCAACCAAAAAAGGAGGTGCACATCTACATGTTATAATAAACAAAATAAACCAACATACAAAATTTCAATGTTCTGAGGCTATTTGTTTTTGATTTATGCGAGTACGTACAGACGCCATAAAAAAACCTCTTCTTAATACATTTTAAATCAGTTTTATAATTTGGGGGAAAATAGTCCTTTATTCTGTCCATAAGTACATTTGTCACACAAAAACAACACTAAATTGCATTCAATAGCGGTCAAAATGGATATTTTCGTTGAAATGTGATACCTGAAATTTTTCGTGATTATAATACTTTCTTTTAACTTTGTACAAGGAAGTAAAAAGGTTCAATATACTAAATTTTACTTCTTTTCATATTCTTCAAACATACATTAATTTACTGCTTCTACATTGATCATACTTATGATTGTCAGTACCCTGAATTCATCCTTAGAAGACATCCAAAGTGCAAAGATCTTATCTACGTTTCTCTTCCAGGGTATAAGAATTTTGGGATATTTAACAAAGGATATAGGGGAGTGTAAATAAATCAAGAGATACAGGTTTTGAATAATTTAAAATAATATAATTTAGTTTGAAACATGTAAATTGAATGTTTTATTTATTTGACATTTATATTGCATGTGCTAATTAACAATCTTTAGCTTTATTATAGCTAAATCTTAAAATTTTGCAGTTTAGTAAATCTTATAATTAATACATGCTTATTTTTTTTCCTTATTATTAAGGTATGGATACGTAACCAACACTAAAATTAAATTTGTTGTAATTGTGGAATCTTCCCACACTACCTTAAGAGATAATGAAATTCGCCAGGTAAGTAAAATATATTTTCTTAATAATTTTATATGCAAAAAAACTGCAAAGTGTTATGAATAATAATGATATAAATTTCTTCACTTCTTAACTTCCCATCTCAAAAATTGACATTATTCTAAACTGGTGCTTAATAAACAAAAGCATTAATTTAGAATAATGTCAATTTTTGAGTTACTTGCATTCTTGAAATTAAGCTATATACTGAATACTCATTCTTACAGATGTTTCGGAGGATACATGCAGGCTATGCAGATATGGTATGCAATCCATTTTATGTACCAGGAGAGACCATTACCTCAAAGTGAGTAACTGAAATTTCCCCCCCCCCTCTAAATGTCTACTTTTGAATGTTATTCAGTTTTTCCTTGTGGCTTAAAGTAATTAAACTGTTGCATTTACTTCCTGTAATTCAGAGAAATTTCTTTTTTTGTTTTTCAGAGCATTTGAAAGTATTATAAAGAACATTATGGTATCTGAGTAGTTGTTTAATGAATCATCTGCTCCTGCATCACAGCCCTCATTCGTTTGTAAATTATCTTTGTATAATATTTGTTTCATTTATATTTATGATTAAAAAAGTATTCTGAAATAAATTTTTTGATATTATGACATTAATAACTTTCACAATATTCAGCTACTGTTTTTACACAAGTTGCCCTATCTACTAGTTGACTACCAAATTATAAAATAAAAAATTAGTATATTTCATACATGCAAATTAAAAATTGCTCATTGAACATTGAATCTTCACTGTTTTCATTTCAAATTTTCGTTTATTATTTTTCTTGAACATTGTCACATTTTCTGTCAGTTTTGTTAAATTTAGTTGAAAACTCTGCATGTTACATGCAAAAAAGGGGGGAAGAAATTATTAAAAGAAATCTCTATTAATATGCACAGTATTTTAAGAAAATGCATACACTGCATTCAGCACATGAATTATTTTGCAAGTTACAGTTCATTTTTTGGTTTTTATGATATGGAGTGATATTTCCATTATCATTTTATTGTTGTGACTGAATTATCCCTGGAAAATGTAAGTTCAAGCATATTATTCACACGGTGGCAGTTACAGAATAATTTGTCGAGCACTTTTCTAGAAATTAAAAAAAAAAAAAAATGTCCCAACTTTAAAGCGCTCAGTAAGTTTTGCTCATATAGTATAATGATACATTATTTCAAACACAAAAATCACACTAGAAATTAGATAAAAAAATAAATATAATTTGTGTTAGAGTTACAATTGAGATTTTTATCACGATGATTGACAACAACATCTTTTGGAGTTTCAAGTTACTGTAGTGAGGCAAATTTTTATTTCTTTTCATACTCTTCAAATACACATTAATTTACTGCTTCTACATTGAGCATATTTATGATAATAAGATGGTAATATGTTTGCCCTAAATAGAAGGGAGCAAAAGCAAATAAATATTTGTTGTTGTTCTAGTTCTAATTTTTTTTTTCTTTAGTTAATATGAAATATTTTTGTTAACTATTTGGCACTAATATTCTTTTCCCTTTCTTAGAGATTTCTGAGATCCTATCATTTTTTAATAAAAGGTATTTTTAGATTATTCACCACAAACAGTCAACAATTCATTGATGAAAAACAGTTATTTTTATGGCTTATGAGTACTGTTCATAAAAAATAATAAAAAGAAGCAATTATCAATTAATTATAAATAAGAAATTTTATCAGGGGGGAGATTAAAAGGGAAAAAAACTAACCAATGAAATGATAATTAAAACATGTAAATCCATATTTGCTCTAATACAGTACAAAGTCCGAGATCCGGACTCATCGGGACTTCGGCCATTCCATATTTGGGATTTTTCCGGATATTAGATCATCAGTTTAAATCTAGTAAGATGGCATGTAGAAATTATAAAATTAAAAGTATGAAATCATGATTTATAAAATAATGAAGCATTTATGATCTAAAGCAGCATTTCTGAAACTGTGGGTCGCAGGACCTGCAGCAGGGGGTCACCAAAAAATTAGCAGTTTTGATATTTCTTTAACTTATAATAATAATTTTACAGTGACCAAATATTTTTATACAATGTATCTGAAAATAGATAAAAATAAGACAAAGAAAAAAATGAAAACATTTTGACGCATTCTTTTTATAATAGAAACGTTCATTTTACTTGCTTTGCACATGATGCTGCCATTTCGTCTGTTACTTATTAAAAATTTTCACATTTATCTATGTCTTAAAATTATAAATCAAAGTTAAGGAATTATAACTGCAATAACAAGTGAAAAAAATTGATAGTTTCACACACCTGTGTTTGGATTTGCGCAATGCTTATGGGGTCCCACAAAATTTTCGCAAATATTATGGCGTCCTGGGGGTCGCGAAAAAATCTCAGTGTAAAAAAGGGTCTCGACGGAAAAGAGTTTAAGAAACCCTGATCTAAAAGGTATCAAAATTTACGAAAAAAAGCTTAATATTTATATTTTTACTTTATTAAGCATTTCTTTCAATTTAAATTGAAGTTGCTTCGTTTTTTGTGCTAATATATTCTCTTTAATTCTATAGACAGACATTGTTTCTTGTTCAGTTACAAAGTTCCACTGTTCATGTCCTGTAGTTGCTGTGTCGAGAATTTTGACTTACTTCTCAATCGAAATTTTTTCTTTTTCAGTAACCTCTCTGACACTTTCTTAACTATTGGTAGCGGTATTTTCTGGATCTAGAACCGTACTACAGATTTCGCCGTCCATTAGTTGATTGATGATTGGAGCATTGTCATCACAATGAAAAACTTCTATTATATCATCTTCATTTATTACCACTTCTCCACATTTCTTTACAAATCTATTAATTGGAAATTTTCACCTTTGGTTTGCAAGGTCCGAAAAACATAAGTAAGCTGGACATAAGTTATGCCAAGAATTTTTTAAAGTATCTGGAGATACATCCTCCCATGATCTTGCGATAGTTTTACATTATTCAAGAAATTTAACATGAATTTTAAAAATGCTATTATATATTTGCATTTCAGCATGCACATTATTCCAATATCCATAGACTGAATGATGGACGTACAGTTTGGAGGAAAGAATAACATGGATACATTATCTTTCACTAAAACTTTAACTGAATTATAAGCCGAACAGTTATCTACAATCAGGACAATTTTTGCATCATCAAGTAAACCAACCCAATTCAAATTTTGCCAAGCATCGTATATGAAATAATATTCAAACCAATCATACATAACGCTTGTGTCATCCATGGTCTTTTATTTGCATGATATATAATGGGGAAAATCTTTACTCCTTTAACCCTTTCAGGACAGGCGTCCCATATACGCATTCCCTAAGAACGTCTCTTACAGCCGGGCATCCCATCCACGTATCACTAGAGATTGCATTCAGAGGACTGGTGATGCATATACTCATTTTAAGCTGGAACGTTTTTCCGAAGGCCACTAGATGGCATTCTATGCCCAATGCTTTTGAAATGAACACAGTTTTAGGTTTCTAACCTTGGATTTGATATATTCTGTCTGACTGGTATTTTACTCATCAACTGTTGCGAGGGTGAGGGGGGAAGCATAAACAAATATGGGCTCTTTATAATTTTTCTAGCCTCATTTTTATGCCTGCTATAACTTTTTTAGTCATTGAATTTAGATTCCGAAACTGCACCATTTCATTTCCTAACAGCAATAAAACTAGAGAATTAAAATATTTATTAAAAAACACAAAAATTGAATCAATTATTACATAATTGAATCTTACTTCATCATTAAGACTGTGTAACATGTTGTAAGAAAACAATGTTTTTGCTGTTCCATGCAATAATCTGCTTTGTAATTTTGAAAGGATTACCAATTTTAAAAAAGTAGGTGCTACTGGAAGTAAGTAGTAAAAGGAAGTAATATAAAATTATGTATAAATAGGACATATTTAAAGAAGTGAAATATTTCTGAAAACTTATTTAAATACACAATTTAAGGGGGGAAATGAATTAATCTATAAAATCTTAAATTATGGTGATTATGTATTTATTGAGACAACATATTTAAAAGAATATAATGAAATATCATATAAAATTCTACAACACATTTGCAGTGGATTTTTTGTGTAAAATTATTAATTTGCATTTTGTTGTAGAAATTATAAAACATTTATTTTCAAATAAGATAAATTGATATTAAATTTATCCTCTTCAGCAACTGCATGGAGGTAGGAATTAAAGATGCCCTCCCTCCACTATAGCTGATGCAGAGCTACCGAGCTTTGGTATAGCCAAAGAAGGTTAGTACTTTTGTTTATATCTAAAGATGTTGTCTTGACAGTGGTTTGGTAATACTTCCACACATGATTAATATGGCATTGAAAAGTGTGGACACTTCCACATGAAAGAAACATTCATTGTTTGATGATTAATTGTAATTTGTATAATTTAGTGGCATTTCTGCACAAATCACATCTTGGTTATCTTTCGATTACTTGCAACAGCAATTTTGATTATGAATTTGTTTTATAAAATTCTAAACTACTGGACTATAAAAAATATAGATTTTAGCAAAGTGTTTATGTTATGAATAAAGAATGATAACTACATTCAGGTACCTGTAAAATGTCAAATATCACAAAAATATAACACACTTTAAAGCTGACTTTCCGTATAACTAACTGGTACAAAAGTGAAAATTTGTGTACACCTTTCGATGCCCTTGATAGTGTATTTGCTACTTTTATATCCCAAATATCAAAATGGTTTAAATAAAATACATTTTTGTCATGCACATAATAATGTAATAAATGTTTATTTTTTAATATTTAGGGGAGAAGCATAATTATTGCTCATTTTAAACTCATCATTTTATTTTTAAACTGAGAACATTTTTTAAAAATATATATTTTGATATTGAGTAGTGGTCTGCTAATTTAAAAAGTTTCAAGACATGAAAAAATCAGTGCTATTAATTGGTATTAGCAATAAATTTTGTTCTCACATCGTGTTGTTTTGTTATCAACACATTTTTATTCTCACTTGAAAAACTTGTACTTTCACTCTACCCACTACCGCCTGTAAAGGTTGGACAGATAAGGGCACAACAATTTTGTTATGCTTAATTGAAGTATAAAATTTTAATTAATAAATTTGTCATTATCAGTTCAGAAACAGGTTGATTCATTTACTTCTTTTGTTACACCAACCCCCTGATGACAATGTAGTGAAGGATGTACCTTTTTTCTTTTACAATTGTCTTTTTTGTTAAACATTGATTTTTCACCTTTTTATGCAACTATACATTGTTTCTCGATTTTACTTTAAAACCCTTTGCGGCACAGTGTGCCCGTTCTGGACATACCTAAAAATTCCCTTCTGTACACACAGTAAAATTGAATGAAAAAGGGTTTATAGGTTACTCTGAACCTTCTTTATTTATAGTAGATGGCAGCTCAACACAAACCAGTCCATATATTTTAGCCATGTTTAGTTTTTAAGACCCTCATTTTTCAAAAGAAATCTTCCAGATTTTTTTTTTTTTTTTTTTTTTTGGGTATAAAAGGAATTGTTTGAAAAGAAATTTCTATGTTATTTTTTTTGGCTGTATGCTAATCTCCTTATTCTATATTAGTTTTAAATTTTTACCTTGAAATCTTGCCTAAAATCAAGCGGTGAACCCTAGGTGTGCCCAGACTGGACTCACTGATGATCTAGGGCAACTAAGAGTCTGTATTCTTTGTTTCTCCGCATCTCATTGGTCAGTTCATTGACAATAATGCTCATTTCAGCACTCTTTTCGAAGCTCTATTCAGCCAGTGGGCACACTGACCCACAGAATTAAAATGATACGTGCTATCTTCACAAAATTTTACTTGTGTACTCCTATAGGCCTAATTAGACTGCCTACCACTTTTTTTTTTTTTTTTTTTTTAATCAAAACTTCAACTTAAAAAGGTAGCATGCCGGAAAGGGTTAATGGTTTAATCCAGAAAACTGATATGTTTACCATTTTAAAAATGCTTTTAAAATAAACAGGGAGTTTAAAACATACCATTTCAAAATTGCTTTTGTAAATTTACAAGGCAAATAAAAGAATAAGTCATTTTCACAGTTAAGAATCTTCACTTAATAGTTGTTAAAATGAGAGTCTATACTTAGCATTTCTTAACTTGGAAAGAAAGCTACAATAGATTCAAAAAACAGATAATTTTATATAAATTCTTTATTCAGCAATCTGATACATATTACAAATGCAAAGCTCAAAAGTTCTTAACATTTAAGGTAAGAAACTAATCTCTTTTTACGAACTAGCTAAGGATAAAAATTATATTTTTCATTACACACATAATCATGAAATACATCAATAATTACAATTTAATTTAAATGAAGATGAAATAAATTACTTCTACACAATTTATCTAAACAAAAGAAAATGACATATTTGCAAACTTTTTTTATCAATCTTTATAAGTCGAAATAAAATGGAATGAAATTTTTATCACTAATAAATAGTTCAAGTTGAATTCTAAATATTTAATTGATTAATGAGCTATAAATTTTACTTACAAAATGATGATTTAAAAATAAAACTGGTTCTTTTTTTTTCATTTCAAACATAATCAGTATAAAAATAATGATTTGATAAAGGCATAAAATTCTGAAAAATAAATTTGTTTGCTTGACCTTAAATTGATAGTTTTCAGTGTTTTAATATTTATTGTTCAACTCACAGTCACACAGAAAAAATATTACATTCTGTTTCTATTCTATACTACTGGGCACAATAATATAGAAAATTTTAAGGTTACTTTTTTCCTAATTGGTGTCTGAATAAATAGTACCTTATATAAGGATGGGAATTTCAAACTAATCACTAAAATTTCTGATTTTTCAGATTCCATAAGGGTTTTTAACAATACGTAATTTTACAAAGGGATACATATGAAAGTTTTGTATTCAAATCATGATAGCCTATTGGGCCAATTTCACAATCAGCACATATTAGATATTTCACTCCATCTACTGTTTTGCTAAATCCAACATTTTCAAAAGAATACATATTATCAACACGCCAATATTTATTCATGTTATCAACTGATTTTGGGTCATTTTCTTCTTTCAGATGTCCATCTGGTAATACAAACTGAAAAGCAAAAAGTAAAAATATAGCATTTACATAAATAAGTATTTATGCATATAATTAATTAAGGACCATCGACCTCTTAGCATTTGTCCATACAAACAGGAGTCCACATTAAGAGAAGGGCATGTATTTGAATAGTTAAATTTCAGATTACTGAGCAACATCTTTTACAGCAATGTAATAGGTATGTACAATACAGATATATTAATACAATATGAATAAATATTCTCGGAAACATTTACAGTGAAATAAAAAATATTCAGTTATATATAATGGTAACCTGTCTGTTTTCACTTAATGCTGTACACAACAAATAGATTTTTGAAATATAAATCAACATAAAATAATTTCTCTTTAAAAGAATATTTTTTCAATAATCTTTAGTTCTGAACAGTAAGCCAAAAATTTTATTTGCAACACCTCTTCTAACTAAATACTAGCACATAATTGTGAACAAATTAAAAATTCCTTTGCTGTCAGAAATTTAATGTTCTCTATTTCTTCAATGTCAGTGAATATTTCTTGTACCTTCTGCTTTGTTACTACATTAATGATTCCTTCATCAGATGGTTTACTGGAAATGAAAATTCCATCATCAAAACTGATACGGATTGCAACAATGATTCCTTATGGGATATCAACAACCAACTGCATGCTGCTTCAAGATATTCTGAAGCACAATTATGAGCGATATCTTCTTGTTGTTTCTTTACATTTTCTTTAAACAATGGCAACAATAAGAGATGATTTTATCCATTCGCTCAAGATTGTTGAAGTTGCATCATTTAAGGAATAATCAAATTTTGGATTATTTAAATACTCTGATTATATATGTCTGCTGTACAGACCTAAAACTGAAATACTGAAGTTTGGGTGACAAAAAAAAAATCTTCACTAATTTCAGATTGGGAATCTCTACAAAATGTGGACAAAGCAATTATTCACGAATAGCAGGATATATTGTTTCTGTTTATATAAATATCCAAGATGTTATGCATATTGTTTCAATTACCAATCACATTTCACAATTGTGATGCTGATCAATATATCTTTTTTATAATAATTATACATATTTGCTTATAATAAACAGAATTATTTTTATATGTTTTGAAAATATTCTTATTTAATTGACAGAAATTACCTATTTAAACAACTAACATGTTTATGAGATTTACATATCCTCATCAAATATACTTTAAAATAATCATTTAGTACCTGCATTTGGACTGCTCACATCTTGTCAAACATGTACACTGTGCCAAAAAAAAGGGGGGGCAGTTCTGTATCTCCTGTTCTACTGGGCAGATTGACGAAACTGAAATTGTGTTTTTCATGTCTCAAAATCACGACTTTGGATATATACGTAGCGTATTCGGAAACTAACTACCGTGTCATTCTAGCGCCGTCGGAGCGTTGTGGTAGGTGTCCCGCGCATGCGCACTAGTCTTTCTTGTTCACTGACTTTCAATTGTCGCCATTTTGTTTGCTCTATGTTGTGTTTTCAGTTTGCTGTGCACATTCAAAATGTTTAAGAGAATTAGTTTTCCCGCTGACTGTGAGATTCGTGCTCACTGATGTTCACAAAACAAAGCAACTTAATAGTGCCCTGACATTTCTCACGCGGTACAGTGATGAGGGAGAAAACATTTTAAACCAAATTGTGATAGGTGATGAAACTTGGGTGTGTCATTTCACACCAGAATCGAAACAACAATCGATGGAGTGGAGACACACTCATTCTCCGAAAAAACAAAAGTTCAAAGTGACAATGTCATCACAAAAAAATCATGTGCCACTGTCTTCTGGGATAGGAAAGGCGTTTTGCTTACTGAATTTCTTCCCAGAGGTGTAACCATTAATGCGGCACGATATTGTGAGACTTTCAAAATAAACGAAGAGGAATGCTTAGTAAAGGAATTGTGTTGCTCCATGACAATGCTCGGCCCCATACTGCTGGTGTCACTCAATCGTTAATTCGACAGATTCATTGGGAGTAGTTCGATCACCCGCCGTACAGCCCGGACTTGGCGCCGTCCGACTATCACTTGTTCCTGCACATGAAGCGCGAGCTTAGTGGCAAGCGCTTTGGATCTGACGAAGACACGAAAAATGCTGTGGGGCCGTGGTTATGGAAACTGGCGGGAAGTTTCTTTGACAATGGTATACAAAAACTGGTCACCCGCTATGACAAGTGTTTGATCATTGGCGGAAACTATATTGAAAAATAGTTTAAGACATGTATTTTCATGTAAAAATAAAATTGGATTCGAAAAAATAGTTTTAGTTATTTTTTTTTTTTTTTTTTTTTTTCAAAACGGTACTTAGTTTCCGAATACGCCTTGTATTAGATTTATATATTGCATTATTCTAACATAGGTATTTTGACACAAAATTGAACTTTTTCTGAAATAGCACATCAATTGTTTTCCATATTTCAATTCTACTACTCAAATTATGCCTAGATATTAAATTTTGTCATTTTTGGTGAGAAATTTATGGAGAGATTTAAAAATTTATCTTGGCAGATTTTTTTCATTTTGCACCAAGAATAATTCACTTCAGAAAATTCTTAATTTATAGTAACCTACTTACTTTCCTTATTTTTCATTGATGCACAAGAAGAAAAAAGGTCCATCGATCATTCTTTCAAATGATTTTAACAAAGTGTCTAAACCACATTTTCATTATTATCGTTTATATTAAATACACTAAAATTCAAAACGCGGCAAAATATAAATTCATGTACATCATCGGAAGTTTTTAATTAAAAACTCTTAATTTTTTGCAGATATGCTTAGAATACATCTACTGTAACATGATGTTAAAAATTTTATAATTCAAAATATTTTTCGAAAAAATACAAGTTTTTAAAATAAGTAATAAAAAATGTGTGAATTATATTTGGATTAAACCTAAATTTTGAATTCTGAAAGAAGGAATCAGGTAAGTTTAATAAAAAGAGAAATTAATAAATATACTGTTGCATGCGTACGGGTTCGTTATAAAATAAATACACAAGTCCGATGAAAAATGAACAAAATTTATTATTATCACAACAAAAATGCTTAAATTTTCCTCAGATAGTGCAGTATTACAAATCTCACAGTAGTTACCTTTTAATACTCAAACGTTCAAGAGAACTTAATTCAAAAACAGCTAAAGGAAGCTAATCCACGAATTCTCTACAATCAACAAGAGCAGTTTTCTAAACAAACTAACTGACTACTGAATTGAGAGTTTTCCTCCTTTTTATAATGTTTTAAATAGCGCGCGAGAATTTTCTGGAACTTTCTCAAAATCAAAAACAGATATTTATTTATTAAATGTTAAATGCACGTGTCTTGTATTTTAATTTTCCGGCTTAGCTTTCCTTTAATATTCATCATGCATTACACTGCACGGGGAATAAAAAACAATTTAAATTTATATTCAACTAACATTAGCTATTTAATACCCAAAATCCGTAACACTGCCCTCTTCCCAAGGACTGCACATCCCGGGACAGTATAATCCCTGGACAGGAAGCCAAACTTACAACTAAGGCATAAATGCAATAATAAAAATTGCATTACAATAACAACCAACATAAACAATAAATACAATAACTAAAACAAATCAAATGTTATTAAATTAATATAAATCAAATACTAAATACACATTTAAAAACAAAAAAGGACCATGATATTACACTATTTACAATTATTTATATTACATATTTTGGCCATAGTAATGAGCTAACCTGTCATAATGAACGACTTTAGGTTTAGAGTTCAAAGACTTATGGATCCGAACCACGACGTCATTTAGTCTGTTTAGGACTGTGTATGGACCATCCCAAGGTGACTGTAATTTCCTTTCCGACCTGCACAGGCATCGCAAGATCGGCACCACTTTTGCATCATCCTTTGCATTATCCAGTAAAAGCGCTCACAAACTCTCTGCAAGTCTCATTATTCCAAAGTGACCTCCTGTAGGGCTGTTATGTAGTTCTTTAAGCACATCAGGAATCTGGGATCTTGGAAGTACCAGTTGCCAAAGGAACGTCTTCCCATCAATCGATTCGAATTTCCGGTATAAGACGCCTTTTCGAATGTGAAGTGAATCCCAGAGTGCCCAGTATTGTTTTGTTGTAGGACTATAGATAGAAATGTCCTCCCATGCAGGTTTTCTGTTCGATGACTCAATTATGTATGATGACCAATAAATCAATTATGGGTTTAATGTCACGGTCTTCCTGCTGGTCTTTCCTGACTGCATCATCACTCCACGGTCTCGATCAACCGATTCGGCACCACTTTTGCACATCATCCTTTGCATTATTCCAGTAAAAGCGCTCACAAACTCTCTGCAAGATCTTCATTATTCCAAAGTGACCTCCTATAGGGCTGTTATGTAGTTCTTTAAGGATATCAGGAATCTGGGATCTTGGAAGTATCAGTTACCATCGGAAAGTCTTCCAATCATCCAATTCGAATTTCCGGTATAAGACGTTGTTTCGAATGTGAAGTGAATTTCAGACTGCTCAGTATTGTTTTGTTGTAGGACTATAGATAGAAATGTCCTGCCAAGTAGGTTTTCTGTTTGATGACTCAATTATGTAGATGACCAATAATCAATTAGGGTTTAATGTCACGGTCTTCCTGCTGGTCTTTCCTGACTGCATCATCACTCCACGGTCTCGATCAACCGATGTTGATGCTGTAATTTGTTGTGCGACTGGATTAAGCAGCTCGTATTTCTCTTCCACCCTGGAACAGTATCGGCAGCTTTCTGGGCAAGGTCTTCTAGACAGGGTGGCGTTTCCATGTGATGATCCCTTACGATGACAGATAGTGATGTCATATTCCTGGAGTCTCTGTATCCACCTGGCTATTTGACCCTCAGTATTCTTGAAATTTAAAAGCCAGGTCAATGATGTATGATCAGTGCGGAGCAGGCATTTTCTGCCGTATAGAGAGTGGAAAATGTCCTCGGCTTGACTATGGCGAGCAACTCTTTCC